GAACCTCTTTCACACATTAGTGAACAAAGCAGTCCCAGAAAGCAGTCCCAAGGACAGCTGGGACTGCTGCTTTCTATAGCAGTCCCAGAGCAGTCCAATAGCGGTCCCAGAGCGGTCCCAAAGCAGTCCCGGGGACTGCTTTCTGGGACTGCTTTGGTGTCAGGTTAGGTCGGGTCGATACTGTATGGTTAAAAACACCATAAAATTAGTCACAACTGAGGAGAACGTGTTTGCCAATCATCTTTTACAAAAAATGAAACGAAATTGAGAATTTTAGAGAAATTATTTTTTTTTTAATATTTGGACTAACCCAATCAAACACTGATCCCGATCAAAATTAACACAAAATGAATAAAATACTAATTTATTGCCTCTTCATGTATTCACAATGAAGAAATGTATTTTATTATTAAGTTCAGTAATGTTTTAACCCTTATTACACGTAATCAGATTAGTGTTCTTGGGGAAATGTTATAATGCGCTCGGATAGATAGATCCGAGGCTTATATTGTTTTTGTCCTGTCTGTCTGTCTGTCTGTTTGATTGTTTGTTTGTTTGTTTGTTCGTCTGCAAACTTTAATCTTCGCCATAACTTTTGAACCATGAAAGACAGAGACTTCATATTTGGTATGCATACTTCACTAATTAAGATCTTTCAAATGACACCAAGGTCAATGACCTACTGACCTTGATTGTGGTCTATGTGCTAAAATTAGATTTTTCTGGAAACTTTAACCTTCGCCATAACTTTTGAACCATGAAAGATAGAGACTTCATATTTGGTATGCGTATTCCTCTAATCAAGTTCTTTCAAATTACACCAAGATCAATGACCTTGTGACCTTGACTGTGATCTAGATGCTTAAAATAGCTTTTTTCGAACTTTGTTGCCGCCGGGCGCATAATGTTTCACAAACACATCTTGTTTATTCCCAATAATTGTACAATTATTGTTGGGATCGGTTTGATTTTGATCGGGATTGGCAAAAATAACAAAATTTGGCTACTTCGTTTACATTTCTTTTAAAAATAAGATTAACGAACATTTTCTCCCCAGTTGTGACTGTTTAAAAGTTTAAAAGATATTCACAAATTATGTGTTTTGTTTTCAATAATATTTTTATTTAAAAATTTCTAATACATACGAGGGTTGTCCAAAAAGTTCGTGGACAATGACGTTTTTGTTTAAATAAATGGCTCTATATAAATCTTTTGCATATCAAAATATTTCTTATGAAAAAACAAGTCAGAATGATTTAATTTTTATTGATGGAACGTAATAATTTTGTAACAATCGGGGTCTATAAAGATCGCAGATAGTGCGCACGGACCAAGGTTAAAATTCCATAAACTCTGATAAACTGATAAAAAGTGTTCGGATTAAAATGATTATTACCTACATAAAAAAAGTCAAAACTTAATAAAAAATATATATAACACAAATAAAGAAGCTATAATCATTTTCTGAAATCTTAAGTATCATTTTACATACAGTGAAAAAACTAAACAAAAACCCTGACAAATATGTGTCAAAACGTGCCGGAAAAACCGACGTCGGCTGTCCGACCGGGGCAGCGTCCAATAAAAAAAAAATGTTTTAATACGGTAGAAACGACGTAATATTTGTTTAAACAACTCTAAGTTATTGAAATATATTTATTTATTGATTTGAGATTTTTTATACGATTTTTCAATGGTGTGTACAAATTTGAAGACACTACAATTATTTAAAAACACATGTAATTTGCTGAAAATCGAGATTTCTATTCATGACGTTTTTATAAATCTAGCGCAGCGACGGACTGTGCTGTGCAGTTTGTGTATACAAATTGTTTATACTGATGACACTCCTAAATTTTTGTGCATTGTTTTGAATTTTAAAAATTAAATGAATTAAAATCTATACTTTAATATTATTGCTAGCACTTGGAAGTATGGCGCCATAAAAAAGAAATGTAGTGTGTGTCCTTGAACATGGGTTAAAATTCAAAATCCAAATGTTTGACGTTATAATGAAATTAGCTTAACATCAATCTGGTCCGTGCACACTATCCATGGCTTTTAAAGACCCCGATTTTTTTTTTTTTACAAAAAATATAAAGTTCCACTTATAAAAATTAAAACTTTCTGACTTGGTTTTTCTTAAGAAATATTTTGATATATATTAGATATATATATATATAGAACCATTTATTTTAACAAAAACGTCACTGTCCACGAACTTTTTTGACAACCCTCGTATATGGCTTTTCTTTACATATTTTATAAGGTATTCATGTGATGCATTTATTTACAGCAAAGGTTTTACAAGAAAGCATATTATTTTGAAGTAAATTTTTTTTTTTCATTTTCTTTGAAAAAATGCAAAAAAAATTCATATAAAATGATTAAGAACTAATTTCATCCTTTCAATGCTGAAACAATTGTTTAAAAAGGTTGATTCATAGATTTATAAAATAAAAAGTTGGTGTGGCATTCCTCCTTAAACAAATTCAATCTACACTACCTGAGGATGCTTCCATATAAATGCAAGTAATCATGGCTTTGATGTTCTTGAGGAGATTTTTAAAGATTTTTCCCATATACTGTAAATCACTTTTTATTCGCGAGAACTTTATTTTCGCGTAATTACGCGAGACAGTGTGATCGCGAAAATATAATTCTCGCGTATAAAAGTATTCCACAAGAATATATAGAGCAATAATCACAATTCGCGAAAATTTTATCTCGCCAATCAAGAGTAAATGACTATCTCGCGAAAATAAGTTGTCGCGAAAATTTAGTGATCTACAGTATTTCTATATAAAACTTTTATCGTCCTATGTTGCCCCACCCATTGACCCGGGGTTCATAAGTGGAACAAATTTGAATCTACAGTACCCAAGGATGCTATCAAATAAATATGATTGTTCACGGCTATGCTGTTCTTGAGAAGAAAACTTTAAAGATTTTCCCCATTATTTCTATGTTAAATTGTGATTGTCCCTTGTGGCCCCGCCCTACCCAAAGGGGACTTGATTTGAACAAACTTCAAGCAATGCTACCAGAGGATGCTTTTGTATAAATATGACAAACCATGTCTTTTTTTGCTGTTCTTGCGAGGAGGATTTTTACAAATTTTTCATAAATATTTCTATATAAAACTTTGATCGTCCCTTTTAGCCCCGTCCTACACCCGGGGATCATGATTTGAACAAACTTGAATATACACTACCTGAGGATGTTTCCACATAAGTTTCAAATTTTCTGGCACAGTGGTTCTTGAAGTTTTTTTTTTTAAATTCCCTTTATATATTTCAATGTAAACTTTGATTGTTACTTGTGGTCCCAATCTACCCCCAGGGGTCATGATTTGAACAAACTTGAATTAACACTACTTGAGGATGTTCCCACATAAGTTTCAACTTACCTGACATAGTGGTTCTTGAGAAAAAGATTTTTAAAAAACTCCCTATATATTTCTATGAAAAATTTAATCATCCCTTGTGGCCCCGCCCTACCCCGGGGGTCGATTTGAACAAACTTCAATCTACACTACATGAAAATGTTCCCACATAAGTTTCGAATCTTCTAACGCAGTGGTTCTTGAGAAAAAGATTTTTTTAAAAACATTTTCTTATATATATTTCTATGCATACATGTACTTTGATCGTCCCTTGTGGCCCAGCCCTACCCCTGGCGGTCATGATTTGAACAACATAATATCTACGCAACATGAAAATGTTCCCACATAAGTTTCAAATTTCCTGGCACAGTGGTTCTAGAGGAGATTTTTAAAATATGCCAGTAGATTTCACTATTTCTAAGTTTTCTCTTCCCTTTAAATAAGAGCATGGCCTTCATTTGAACAAACTTTAATCTCATTTACCCAAGGATGCTTTGTGGCAAGTTTGGTCTACATTTGCCCAGTGGTTCTTGAGAAGAAGTCGAAAATGTGTCAGACAGACGGACAGACGAACTACAGACAAAATGTGATCAGAATAGCTCCCTTGAGCTTTCAGCACAGATGAGCTAAAAAGAATCTAACCTGTCTGAACACAACTGCGTTTAAGTATGACGAATATCATGGCTTTTTTTTCAAACACAATAATCCTGATAAGCTTGAAAACAATTCTGTAAACAAATATATTTAAAACTCTTCTCTTTAGAATATTTTGACTGTGTTTTCGGACAACATTGAATAAGTTGCCCAAATCGGAAGGGAAAAATTGCAATCAGCTCCAGCCGCTCCACGTATAGCAAATACCGTAAATCAATTTGTATACGCGTGCGAAAATAACCACGAGTTTCGCGAGCAACTCAAAGCACAGATGAAACAAAGAAACTTTTAACAAATAATTTGAAAAAAAAAACAACTTGAGTAATGCTTTAATGAGTAAAATGAACAAGTTTTATTCAAATTTTCACACAAATGGGATTTGTGGGAAAAATATTTCTATAGGTTAATAAGGATGGTTTCAGAGAGGTAGAATTTGACCTTCATAAAATGTTTACAGTTTCTTTATATTCTAGAAATTTATTATTTGCATTATTTTTAATGAAATTAAACAAAAAATAGATACTAATCCAGGCATCCATTTTTTGTTTGTATCATCTGTCCTTAAGCTGATGATGCTAAATTGTCTCTGCATAAATATAGGTAAATACAATTACATGTATCATTTTACACATATTATTGATATCAACACTGTGTTTTAAAATCTTTGACTTTTTAAGTAAACTAATTTATGCAGCTATATAAATCACAATAAATAAAAGTAGCTGTTTACAAAAATCTTGCATTATAAATCACTTACATGTATATCATATCTTGTTTCATTAGCAAGACAAGTTATATTGAGAGAAATTACAAGAAGATTTAAACAAGTTCTCTTATACTTTGTATGATATACTGAAAATACTTAAAAAAGCTTTTAAATTACCTTTACATAATTGGCATTTCCGAACGCTTAAATTTGATCTTGTTGGGTTTAAGTTACAGGAAAGCAACTCCTTCACACCTCTTTCATACATATCCCCTCCAGTGAAGTGTTTTTCAATTGCTATGATGACTTCTCCGATTTTTTCCCAGTGATATTGGAAGTCTTTGTCATCCACCTTGACAAGTCTAGAATGACGGATGATTGAGTATTTCTGAAATCGGATCCTCTCTATGTAGGCAGAAACGCTCTTATCATCCTTTTTAGGATGTTTTCCCCAACCAGCTCTATGTTTTTCTAATTTGCATATTTTTCTCAGAATAATGTATATTACCGATATGTCCAAGTCTTTGGAAATCAAAGCACCGGGGCCAGAGGATGGATATACCAGTTCTTTTTGCTGGGGGTTCATGAATTTCTCAAGTATACTTCTGTTCTTGTCCAGCTCTGACCTCAGGTCAGCAGGCTTGATATAGCGACTTAGAATGTCCCTGAACAAGTCACTGCAGATTGTCTTGATCAGCTCCCACAAACATGTTTTGCATTTCCAAATGTATAAATTTGATCTTGTTGGGTTTAAATCGCAGGAAAGCAACTGCTTTACACCTCTTTTATACATATCCCCTCCAGTTAAGTTTTTTTCAATTGCTATGATGGCTTCTTCGGTTTTTTCCCAGTGACATTGGAAGTCTTTGTCATCCACTTTGCCAGTTTTAAGATGACCGATGACTGAGTTTCTCTTAATTCGGATCATCTCTATGTAGGCAGAAACGCTCTTATCATCCTTTTTAGGATGTTTTCCCCAACCAGCTTTATGTTTTTCTAATTTGGATATGTTTCTCAGAATAATGTATATAACCGATATGTCCAAGTCTTTTGAAGTCAAAGCACCGGGGCCAGAGGATGGATATACCAGTTCTTTTTGCTGGTGGTTCATGATTTTCTCAAGTATACTTCTGTTCTTGTCCAGCTCTGACCTCAGGTCAGCAGGCTTGATATAGCGACTTAGAATGTCCCTGAACAAGTCACTGAAGATTGTCATTATCAGCTGACACAGACGAGAAAAATTTTCAGTGGCTCTTCCCTGAATGAAATAAGGAGCTGTAGAAGGCCCAGGCACGTCTCCCATTTTTTTTTTCAGCTATTGAAATTAAGATTAAAGAGTTTTAACAGTCCTTCAGTTATTTAGTGTTTTTGAACGACTCGTATCTGAAAACAATCAGAAACTGCATAGTACAGTGGCTGCAACGTTATTGTTGACAAACCAATCGTGTAGAATCGTTCGTGTATCGTGCGTGATCGTTCGTGTAACGTGCGAGATCGTGCGTGTATCAGACTCATTCGTTTGCGTTTTTAATCGTGCGAGATCGTGAGTTTAGAATCGTGTAAATTTCGTTTTGTAAGTTTTTATCGGAATGCTATTTATGATAAGCATTATTTATTTATTTATTTATTTTATTTATTTAAATCCAAATAAAATGAATGAAGTGCAATTTACATACTACCCGGTAATAGAATGCAGAATGAACTAATCATTGCCTGTAAACAAGCAATATAGTAAGTCGTACAATATTAAGTTCTCGTCATTTAGCGCGATCAATATTGTGATAAACCGTACTTAAATATTTAACGCTTTTTTAAAATCTGATTTTCATTATTTTTTACTGCTAATTGTGGTCAAGATAATTTTGAAATCAATACATCGAAAATGAATATTTTTTTTACAAATACATGTAAATAAAAATTTCTCAACGTTTACATCAATATAAAGTCGACGAATATACATGCACATAACATGATTTTCGGGGGTTTTGATTATCCTTTTTTATCTGTTGAGCTTATTTTTAATTAATTAATTTTAAATTTCTGCAAATAAAAAATTTAAATAATTGGCAAGTTAATTTTTAGAGATTTACAGACATTGAATTGATGGAAACATACGGGTATAATTTGTAATTTAAGTCATTCCAAGCTGCCATTTCTTTCAATCGTATCCCCCTGTCTGCATATCATCAAATCTAATTCAATCAAATTATACGACCCACATACATACAAATTTTTTTCTGCCGATAGAACGAAAAAAATCCATTTCCTCGGGGCGGAGAATTACCTTAGAAATAATTATCTATAATCTTAAATATTAAGTCTTACATGTATTTAGCTACAAAAATATCAATTTCCGTTTTTTTTCAAAGTCTCTGAAATAATATTGATAATTCTTTGAAATCTTGAATAAGTATTAAGTCGTATTTCGTTTTGAAAATATCGATTCCTAAATATTTTGAACTATTTTGAGTGAAGAATCGTGCATTTGCGTTAGCAATCGTGTAAGATCGTGTAACGTGTAGAATCGTGTGCGTGAGAGATCGTTCGTGTAACAGGTTTAATCGTGCGTTAATCATGCGGAATCGTTCGTGTAACGTGATCGTTCGTGTAAGTTGTCAACAATAACGTTGCAGCCACTGTATTACAGTTAACTTTACTTTTGTGCATTTTATATATAAGCTCTTCTAGGTCTTAGCTATTCTACTTTTCTGAGTAAAGATTTGTGTGCAATTGTCACTGTGACATGTCACAGTGAAATACACCAACAAAAATGCATTTGCATGTTTGCTTTGTCAAGATCAATGATCAGAGCTAGTCAAAATAAATTACATGTAAAATGCATTGAATTAAAAAAAACAAATGAATATATACCTCGGTTCACAGTCTCTTACAGTTTCATTTAAAGTAGCAGTAACAACTTCCCACGGTGGGATTAGAAATTGTGACGTAAGATCTAGTCAACTAAAATAATAAGAACAAGGCGTTACCGTTGAGGAATAAACATTTCCCGTCGACCAGTCACACCTTAATTTGATAAAACATTTGATCAATGTGATAATACTAACCTAAATTTTTACGTTATTCAACATTGTTTACACAGAACATTTTACTCTTTCATCAATTCGTCTATTTATACTACAGTTACCCTGATTAAAAATATAAAAATTATCATTATTATGCCATTATTCCCTGTAATCAGAACAAACCTTATACGAGTGGTTATATACAAGTTCGTGGACTGAGGCTATAAATTTAGTACTATGTAGTCTGTGCTTTTAAAATTCATATAGAACATAAAGTAACAAAAAACGTTTAAAAATGTTGAAAAACACCTACCATTTGCAATATTATTATGAAATGAAAACGACTTTATATGATCGCTTGGCGCCGTCACTGTTAAGTTTGACGACGCTCGACAAACGTTATTGTTTTTAGATGTCCGTTTCTTCTTCCTCATACACTAAATTGGTGCGATTTTCTGCACCTGAGTAAGGCCGACTTGAACAATTTATACAGTATTTTCCTCTTAAGCACAGTTATCTGGATACAAGCAGCGCCGTCGTCACATTCTCTTAATTTTTGTTTTGATGCAGTTGTGATGTCATCGATCAAAGTTATCGAAACCCTCTGACAGAAATCAATAATTTCACACTATGATAAAAAAAAAACCAACAACAAAGCTTGATTAAAGATTATTATAACTCCAGAATGCTTTTATACTTTTTTTTAGTTTTTCTATTAATTTTCAGAGCCGAAATCCTTCTTGAAATAGATACACTATTCAAGATAGGTTGCTTTTTCTGAATGTTAAAACGCCCAACGTAGTCTATGGTTTTAAAGGTACTTGAACACAGATTTGAAGTTATTATTTTCTCTATAATATTGCGACTTATATATTTTAATAGCATTTCACACAAAAATTAATTACATTGAATTCGAGAAACTCTCTCTCTCTCTCTCTCGTAATTATCCGTTAGCAGAATAATAGGTATAAAATCATACCAGGGACCTATATACTAACTTTAGTATATAGGTCCCTGATCATACGTACTTTCCGCTGTACCATTTATTAGCCGTTGGGACAGATGAAGGAATTTTTCAGACGGGGATGTCGAAACTTGTTCAAAAATTGAAATTACCCAACTAATAACTTTTGACAAGAAAATAAACCTAAACGCCCAAATTGAAAGGGAAATAGATATGAAATCAACATACAAGAATGTGAACATTGGGAATTTTCTCAAATACCTTCTCAGGTAAGGAATCTGGACAAAATTATTCAAACAAGAGGAATAAAAAACTGATTTTAGCAAGAATATGATTTCTCACCGGCAGTTTGCTCTCCCTTCCTATATACATGTATATGCTTTGACTATTATATAATCATTAATATTATGCCAAGAAATATAATTCACATTCCATTCTATTTTGATCATTCATGTACCACAGAATCAAACTCGTTTATTATACCCACGCAACAAGTTGCAGGAGGTATAATGTTTTTGACCGTCCGTCAGTCCGTCCCTTAGTCCCATTTTTCCCCAGAGCAACTCTTCATAAACCGCTGTACAGAATTTAGCCAAACTTTGCACATATTTAGGGTACAATGTCTAGATTTGCATATTACCATGAAATTCCGATTCCCTTATTTTTCTGGGAATTTCGACACTTTTCAGATTTTTGGCCATGTTTTGAATATAGAGATGAACAGTTTGTTAGCGCAACTCCTCATAACCCGCTGCACAGAATTTTGTCAAAATTTGCAAACGTTTAGTATATATGTAGAACTGCAGCAGGAAATTCCGATTCCTGTAATTTTTTCGGGATTTTCGGCACTTTGACGTTTGGGGGAGTGTGGGTATGTGAGCTTGCTCACTTTTTCTTTTATTGTGTATAAAATTATAATAAAAACTTTAAATCAAGTTATATTACTCTATATTTAAAGAAAAAGTCAGTACACTTTATTTATTTGAAAATAATTAATACTAAAGAGATCCGATCTTTTTCAAATTAATTTTAGGAGAAAATTATGTTTGTTTTGAACCCCACCCCCCTCTCATATGTAAGATTAATAATGATTCATGATATATGATAAATTTGATGTAGTTAAGAGATGTGCATATATTTTTTTATTTATATATATATATATATATATATATATATATATATATATATATATATATATATATATATATATATATATATATATATATATATATATATATATATATATATATATATATATATATATATAAAATATATGCACATCTTTTAACTACATCAAATTTATCATATATCATGAATCATTATTAATCTTACATATGAGAGGGGGGTGGGGTTCAAAACATATATATATAGACAACAGTACTACTTTTTTTTGAAAACAAATTGTTTTGCTTTTTTTTTCAATCAATCAAAATACCGGACCGGTGAGCTTTCCAACTTTGAAATTTTCCCTGACCAAATAAACTGATCGGCATGGAACACGTGTGCCCAAGTGCTATGTGGTGACAACTTTTTACTAATGAGATAACAATGGATTACATGATTTCTGACATGCATATTTCAATAAAAGTAAAATAGGATATTTTCTGACATGTGCACATAACGATAGCAGTATTCAGGTAAATGTTTTAAAACTGTGTTCGATGCTTTCTCGATGTCCAAACGGTTTTTGCTGTACATGAATGTCTTCTGTTTTAGTGCTTTTTCTATATTGCAACAAATGCATTCAAAAATAATTTACTTCTCATTATACTAGTTCTAGTTTTTGTTGGATTTTTACTTTTAAAACATGTTTTTGGTAAGTTTATGGATTTCTAAAATTTATTGCTATTGGAGATGTGTACATGTCGACAGCTTGCTAGAAAATCACTCAAGTGAAACAAATGTACCAGGCTTTATATAGCAGGTACAGGTGGCCAAAATAACTTGAATAAATATGGCGGATTCGAAGAAATATGGCGGACAAGGGCGTACAGATATGTAGTAAGTCGTACAAATATTAAAAATGATGCATTTTTGAGAGTTCATGTTTTTGAGAGATGCCCACTCCTCCATGGCACGTGTGCACACCTCTAATGCTTTGGGAGTATATGTACATACTTGCTCTGCTCCTATTATGTATTGTTTTATAGACTTTTGATCTTGAATAAGGGATGGAGTAAATTACTTTAAAAAGTAATTAATTAAATTTCAATTACTTAAACTTTTTCTTCAATTAAATTATAATTAAAAACAAGCTTTCTACGAGATGTAATTAATTGAATTACAATTACTTTGCAAAACTAATTAATTAAAATA